AAAAAAGTTGACTTACCATCTTTTGGGCAAACTTCTTCCTCAGGCGCTTGATCTTCAGCTCCGCGAAGTTCCTTCGCTTCTTCTTGAGGGTTTCTGGCACCGCAGGAACCTTCTTCTTCTTCTTCTCTCTGGATGGGCATTAACATTAACAGCTCATGAAGCTCCCAGCCCCGCAGGCCGCCACCTCTCACCCAGCACTGAACGCAACTACCGGCACTGGCTCTAACATGTGTACCTCCCGCTGCTCTCAGCTGCGACGGGAGACCAAGATTTCAGGCAATTCCTACGCTAACGAGGACCTTTAACACGGACACTCGCGTCTAATCCACGCCCGGTCCCAGCCTCGCACAACAAAAATATCCACAGCAAAGCTAACAAAATGAGAGACTGCTGCCAGACGCGGATCCCGAGACTGTTATCGAGGGCTTAGGCTCCTCGACAAATAACCCCAGAAAAAAAAAAATCCCATCACCCTTGCTCAGGCCTCAAGCGCCACATGCTGAAAGCAAAGGACCGGCGGCAGGGACGCCTGGATCAAGTACATACCAGACAGGGACGAACCCAATTCAGAGGTTCTGTGCCTCCCTCACAAAACAGAGGGGTGGGCAACCGGCCGACTCCGCACATTTTCAGCTCTCCCACTTCGCCTCGTTCCCCACAACTCCAAAACCTCCGCCCCAAGGCTGCCTGCATCCCCTGCGAGCCTGCGGCCTCCGCCAATGTCACCAGACGTCACAAACACACAGGTAAGTAGGCAAGGACACAGGGCACAGTAGGACCGGGGGAAAGTGGGACAAAAGGTCTCTGGTTTCGGGGATGGAAGAGGATTCTCGAGGAGAGGAAGAGCCACTTACTCTGCACCCTCCATGGTTCCAGCCGGAAAAGAGAAAGGCGGCGCATGCGCACTGTTCACTTAAAGATGCCGTGTGAAGCCCCAGGACTCATAGGTGTCCCAGGATAAGCCAGAAAAGAACTCAGAACTGAGAATACGCCCTGCAAACGCAAAATTAAGAAATTCCTGATTCAGTCTCTTAGGATCAAGTTTAGGATAAAATTTGTATGGGGGAAAATGTGTATAGATTAAACTCTTTAATCAATATGAGAGCAAGGAGTGCTTACACCTTGACTAGTCCTTAGGGTGCGTTAACCCGGTGCGGATCGAATTCCACCCAGTAATGAATGCAAATGACACGCCACCGGTGCGAACTACAAATCCCAGCATGCATCAGTCCTATTGCCTGCCCGGCGGGAGGGCGACGTTTGGCCGGGACTGCAGGCAGCCACCGCGGTGGTGGATCCCGTCAGGGAAAATGAGACTCTTTTGGCCCACGATGCAAAGGGCTAGCTGAGATTCCAAGTCGCTCCCGAGAACCGGTTTTAAGCACCTTTTCGGCTCTCTGCCAACCCCAGTCACAGCCTCCGGCGCCCCAGTTGCCGCGCGGCCGAGGTCCTTCCGTTCCTCCGGCCTGAAGGGCTGTCTTCCGCAGCGCCTGATTGCAGGCGGAACCGTCCAGAATGACCTGCTTAACCAAAGTGGCGAGAGGGGCACAGCGAGGATCGGACGCCCGGAGGAGGATGGCCGGGGCGCTGCCGACAGCCGGGCCTGGCAGGCGGAGGCCCGGACACCCCACGGCAGGGGGCGTGAGCCGCGAAGGGAGGTGCGACGAGGGCTGGAGGCTGCGGCCACGGCCATGTGAGAGGGGCTGCCCCGCCGTGGTTCAGCGGACTGCGGGCGGGCGGGGGGCTGGGCCGGGGGCGGGGTGCGCCCGGGGGCGGGGTGGGCCGAGCGGAGGGAGGGCCGATGCCGCCTCTGGCTCTTCCCGGTCGCGGGTTATATAGCGCGGAGCGTGGATCCCGCTCAGAGGCGGTCGGGAGCGCTCCGACTTGCTAGTGGCATTTCGCTGCGGAGCCCGGTGCCGGAGTGACAGCCTCGGAGCGTGCAGGGGCCCCGAGACCGCGGAGCAGCTGCCAGCGGCTGGGCAGCGCTCGCCGGCGCCGGGCGAATCGACCCTTCCCGGCGCTCCCGCTGCCCCGCACCCCACGCTGCCACCCCGCTCGCAACTTGGGGCCAAGTGGACGAGTCCCGCACGGCCCTCCCGCCCGAGCCGGTCTACGCCGCGCCCCCCTCACCCCGGGGGGAAAGGGAGGCGGCGCGCCCGGCTCCGGGACACTCCGGGCGGCGGCGGTTTTCTCCAATAAGGCCAGCGCGGG